GCAGGGAGGCTGGTGTAGGGCACAGGGGCAGGTTGGGGAGCAGGAGGTGCAGGCATCACCCCAGGAGCTCAGGGAGCAGGGGAGCTGGTGCAGGGGAGAAGAACAGGTGGGAGAGGAGGAGGGGCAGGGGTCAGCCCAGGAGCTCAGGGAGCAGGGGGGCTGGTGTAGGGCACAGGGGCAGGTTGGGGAGCAGGGGTGCAGGGGTCACAGCAGGAGCTCAGGGAGCAGGGGGCTGGAGTAGGGGAGCAAGGGCAGGTGGGGGAGCAGGAGGTGCAGGGTCAGCCCAGGAGCTCAGGGATTAGGAGGGCTGGTGTAGGGCGCAGGGGCAGGTTGGGGAGCAGGAGGTGCAGAGGTCACCCCAGGAGCTCAGGGGGCAGGGAGGTTGGTGTAGGGGAGCAGGCGCAGGTGGAGGAGTAGGAGGGACAGGGGGCACCCCAGGAGCTCAGGGTTCAGGGGAGCTGGTGCAGGGGAGCAGAGCAGGTGGGACACGTGGGGATTTACCCCAGAGATCAAGAGGGCAGAGGTCACCCTAGGAGTTCAGGATGCAGGGGAGCTGCTGTAGGGGAGCAGGGGCAGGCGGGGAAACAGGAGGTGCAGAGGTCACCCCAGGAGCTCAGGGGGCAGGGGAGCTGCTGTAGGGGAGCAGGGGCAGGCGGGGAAACAGGAGGTGCAGAGGTCACCCCAGGAGCCCAGTGGGCAGGGGAGCTGGTGCAGGTGAGCAGGGGCAGGTGGGGGAGCAGGAGGGGCAGGGGTCACCCCAGGAGCCCAGGGGGCAGGGGAGCTGGTGCAGGTGAGCAGGGGCTGGTGGGGGAGCAGGGGGTGCAGAGGTCACCCCAGGAGCCCAGGGGCAGGGGAGCTGGTGCAGGTGAGCAGGGGCAGATGGGGGAGCAGGAGGGGCAGGGGTCACCCCAGGAGCCCAGGGGGCAGGGTAGCTGGTGCAGGGGAGCAGAGCAGGTGGGAGATCAAGAGGGGCAGAGGTCACCCTAGGAGTTCAGGGTGCAGGGGAGCTGCTGTAGGGGAGCAGGGGCAGGCGGGGAAGCAGGAGGTGCAGAGGTCACCCCAGGAGCTCAGGGGGCAGGGGAGCTGCTGTAGGGGAGCAGGGGCAGGTGGGGAAGCAGGAGGTGCAGAGGTCACCCCAGGAGCCCAGGGGGGCAGGGGAGCTGGTGCAGGTGAGCAGGGGCAGGTGGGGGAGCAGGAGGTGCAGAGGTCACCCCAGGAGCCCAGGGGCAGGGGAGCTGGTGCAGGTGAGCAGGGGCAGGTGGGGGAGCAGGAGGGGCAGGGGTCACCCCAGGAGCCCAGGGGGCAGGGGAGCTGGTGCAGGTGAGCAGGGGCAGGTGGGGGAGCAGGAGGTGCAGAGGTCACCCCAGGAGCCCAGGGGGGCAGGGGAGCTGGTGCAGGTGAGCAGGGGCAGGTGGGGGAGCAGGAGGGGCAGGGGTCACCCCAGGAGCCCAGGGGGCAGGGGAGCTGGTGCAGGTGAGCAGGGGCAGGTGGGGGAGCAGGAGGTGCAGAGGTCACCCCAGGAGCCCAGTGGGCAGGGGAGCTGGTGCAGGTGAGCAGGGGCAGGTGGGGGACAGGAGGGGCAGGGGTCACCCCAGGAGCCCAGGGGGCAGGGGAGCTGGTGCAGGTGAGCAGGGGCTGGTGGGGGAGCAGGAGGTGCAGAGGTCACCCCAGGAGCCCAGTGGGCAGGGGAGCTGGTGCAGGTGAGCAGGGGCAGATGGGGGAGCAGGAGCGGCAGGGGTCACCCCAGGAGCCCAGGGGGCAGGGGAGCTGGTGCAAGTGAGCAGGGGCAGGTGGGGGAGCAGGAGGTGCAGAGGTCACCCCAGGAGCCCAGGGGGGCAGGGGAGCTGGTGCAGGTGAGCAGGGGCAGGTGGGGGAGCAGGAGGGGCAGGGGTCACCCCAGGAGCCCAGGGGGCAGGGGAGCTGGTGCAGGTGAGCAGGGGCAGGTGGGGGAGCAGGAGGTGCAGAGGTCACCCCAGGAGCCCAGTGGGCAGGGGAGCTGGTGCAGGTGAGCAGGGGCAGGTGGGGGAGCAGGAGGGGCAGGGGTCACCCCAGGAGCCCAGGGGCAGGGGAGCTGGTGCAGGTGAGCAGGGGCTGGTGGGGGAGCAGGAGGTGCAGAGGTCACCCCAGGAGCCCAGTGGGCAGGGGAGCTGGTGCAGGTGAGCAGGGGCATGTGGGGGAGCAGGAGGGGCAGGGGTCACCCCAGGAGCCCAGGGGGCAGGGGAGCTGGTGCAGGTGAACAGGGGCAGGTGGGGGAGCAGGAGGGGCAGGGGTCACCCCAGGAGCTCAGGGAGCAGTGGAGCCAGTGCAGCGGAGGTGGTGCAAGTGAGCAGGGGAGGTGGGGAACAGGAGGGGCAGGGGTCACGCCAGGAGCTGAGGGAGCAGGGGAGCTGGAACAGGGGAGCAGGGGCAGGTGGGAGAGCAGGAGAGGCAGGGGCCAACCCCTAGGAGCCCAGGAAGCAAGGAGCTGCTGCAGGTGAGCAGGGCACGTGGGGGAACAACGGGGGCAGGCATCATCCCAAGAGCCCAGACAGCAGAGGAGCTGGTGCAGGGGAACAGAGCAGGTGGGAGAGCAGGAGGGGCAGGGGTCACCCCAGGAGGTCAGTGTGCAGGGGAGCTGGTGTAGGGGAGAGGGGCAGGTGGAGGAGCAGGAGAGCCAGGGGTTACCCCAGGATCCCAGGGAGCAGGGGAGCTGGTGTAGGGGTGCTGGTGTAAGTGAGCAGGGCAAGTGGGGAGCCGGAGGTGCAGGGTTCATCCAGGAGTACAGGGAGTGGGTAGCTCATGCTGGGGAGCAGGGGCAGGTGGGTGAGCAGAAAGGGCAGAGGTCACCCCAGGAGCAAAGAGAGCAGGGGAGCAGGTGCAGGTTAGCAGGGCAGGTAGGGGAGAGGAGGGGCAGGAGTCACTCCAGGATCCCAGGAAGCAAGGAGATGCTGCAGGTGAGCAGGGTCAGATGGGGAACAGGAGGGGCAGGGGTCACCCAGGATCTCAGTGCTCAGGGGAGCTGCTGCTGGGGAGCAGGGGCAGGATGGGGAGCAGTAGGGGCAAGGATCATGCCAGGAGATCATGGAGCAGGGGAGATAGTGCAGGTGAGCAGGGCAGGTGGGAGAGCAGGAGGTGCAGGAGTCACCCCAGGAGCTCATGGTGCAGGGGAGCTGATGCAGGGAAGCAGGGACAGGTGGGGGAGCAGGAGGGGCAGGGGTCAGTCACCCCAGGAGCCCAAGGAGCAGGGGAGTAGAGGAGATGAACTGGCAAGTGGGGGAGCATGAGGGACTGGGGTCACCCCAAGGGCCCAGGGAGCAGGGGAGCTGGTGCAGGAGAGCAGGGGCCGGTGAAGGAGCAGGCAGGGCAGGGGTATCCCCAAAGCTCAGTGAGCAGGGGAGCTGGTTAAGGTGCACAGGGCAGGTGGGAGAGCAGAGGGGCAGGGGTCACCCAGGAGCTCAGGGATCAGGGGATCTGGTGCAAGAAGCAGGGGGAGATGGGGACAGGAGGTGCAGGGGTCACCCCAGGAGCCCAGAAGCAGGGGAGCAGGTGCAGGGGAGCAGGGGTAAGCGGGGAAGCAGGTGGTTCATGGGTCACCCCAGGATCTCAGAAAGCAGGGGAGCAGGTGCATGGGAGCAGGGCAGGTGGGGAGCAGGAGGGGCAGGGGTCACCCCAGGAGCCCAGAAGCAGGGGAGCAGGTGCAGGGGAGCAGGGCAGGTGGGGAGCAGGAGGGGCAGGGGTGCACTCAGATCTCAGCTCAGCGAGGCCCCGTAACGTGCCCCATCTGGGAGGCCCAGGGGCCAGGGAGGTGCCGCCTTGTTCCAGAATCTCAGCGCCGAGGCCTGAGCGCCAAGCGGGGCTGCACTGCGCAGCGGCTGAGCCGGCGCCACCCGCTCAGGGGCTGAGGGTCCGGGCAGCTGAGCCTCCTGGACCCGGGGAGTGTGAGGCGGTGAGGCCGGGTGGGGAGCAGAGCCTCCCCGGGAAGGCCTTGGGGCCCAGGGGAAGGGGGGCCACTCTAGGAAGGAGGGAGCCACGGGTTTCCAGTCAGGGCAGCAGCGCGGTTCTGCAGGCCCCTGAGACCCGCCCGGGAGGGGGGTCATGGCCAGCCGGGTCCCGGGGTGCAGGGCCGAGGAGCCAGAGGCAGGAGAACAAGGGGCCCGTGGGGAGCCCCAGGCAGGGCTGCCAGCCGTGGTGGGCGTGCGAGGGGCAGCTTCAGGGCCCTGAGCTGAGCAGCGGGGCCCAGGGTCCAAGGGGACAGGCCGGCGGGTGGCGGCGTCTGAGCTGCAGCCTACTTGCTGTCACCACGCAGGACGGGACAGCCAGGGCAGGGCCGCGCTCCCTCCCACCCCGAGGGGCGCACAGGCTCAGGGCAGCCCTGGGTGCGGGAGGCCTGTGGGAGCTGCCCGGGCCCCAGAGCACGGGGGGCAAAGGCCGGGCCCAAGGCGGGAGCAGCCCTGAGGGACGTCAGGAAGCCATGCCTGGAAGGCCTGGGGCAGTCCCGACGGCTCGGGCAGGGACGGGATCCGGCCCCGGGTGCTTGGCTGCAGAGCTGACCCTGACGTCGTGGCACCTGGAGGGCACATGGCAGCCCAGGACGAGAGCTCCGTGCTGAGGGGCCTGGGCAGTGGGTGCAAATCCCTGCTGGGGCAAGACGCGGTCGGACGGGGACAGCAGGCCTGGGCTCAGGGGCCCGCAGGAGCCCACTGGGCACAGGGCTCCCAGGTCGGGGCTGCCACAGAGGCCGTGGTCAGGTGGGGCAGCCAGGGAAAACCTGAGCGGGGACCCAGGGGCCGAGGCCCTGGGGACGTGATCCAGGTGGTCACCCAGCACTGACCAGGCCGAGGAGTCCAGGTTCTGTGGCCACAGCGAGCTGGGCCATGCGCCTGGTGTGCAGACTCCCTGAAGCACGTGGGCGTGGTGCTCAGAGCCACCCCAGGCCTGGACCCCTGAGACCCTGGGGGTCACACAGCCTCCTCTCTTGCAGCCTCCACCACGGCCCCCTCGGTCTTCCCACTGGCCCCCAGCTGCGGGTCCACTTCCGGCTCCACGGTGGCCCTGGCCTGCCTGGTGTCAGGCTACTTCCCCGAGCCTGTAACCGTGTCCTGGAATTACGGCTCCTTGACCAGCGGTGTGCACACCTTCCCGTCCGTCCTGCAGTCCTCAGGGCTCTACTCCCTCAGCAGCATGGTGACAGTGCCCTCCAGCAGGTGGCCCAGCGAGACCTTCACCTGCAACGTGGCCCACCCGGCCAGCAACACTAAAGTAGACAAGCCAGGTGAGACGTCGGACCTCAGAGAGGGGTCCACTCGGGACAGGCCAGGTCAGCTGTCCCGGACCCACGTCACCGGGGAGTCACCTCAGTGTCCCCGCCCTCAAGGCCTCCCCTTTCTGGGAAGGTGTCCTCTGGGCGTGGCTGCCTGGTCCAGATGACCACAGGCTGCATTCCCCACTGCATTCCCGGGGCCCATTGGGTGCCACTGGTCAGGGATCCCCTCATGAGCTGGCCTGACCTAAGTTCACCCCATGACCTGTGCCCACCCCAGGCCCCCAGTAACCCCCAGTCTGCTCTCTCTGCAGTGCTCAAAAGAGAAAATGGAGAAGTTCCTTGCCCACCTGGTTGTCCCAAATGCCCAGGTGAGTCAGCAGGGCCCCGCTCTGCTTCCCAAGCCGATGGTGCACACCCAGGCACAGCCTGATGGGCTAATGGGTGTTGGAGGAATCCACCGAAGTGCTACCTCATCCTTGTGTCTTCCATTTTAGTCCCTGAAATGCTGGGAGGGCCTTCGGTCTTCATCTTTCCCCCGAAACCCAAGGACACCCTCTTGATTGCCCGAACACCCGAGGTCACATGTGTTGTGGTGGATCTGGACCCAGAAGATTCTGAGGTGCAGATCAGCTGGTTCGTGGATGGTAAGCAGGTGCAAACAGCCAAGACTCAGCCTCGTGACGAGCAGTTCAACGGCACCTACCGTGTGGTCAGCGTCCTCCCCATTGGGCACCAGGACTGGCTCAAGGGGAAGCAGTTCACGTGCAAAGTCAACAACAAAGCCCTCCCGTCCCCCATCGAGAGGACCATCTCCAAGGCCAGAGGTGGGCAGCAGGGCATAGGGGCTGCAGGGAGGGAGAGTTGCCCTGTAAATTGATACCAGTCCTCCACCCTGACAGTGACCATCTGTGCTGATCCCTTACCCCACAGGGCAGGCCCATCAGCCCAGTGTGTATGTCCTGCCGCCATCGCGGGACGAGTTGAGCAAGAACACGGTCACCCTGACCTGCCTGATCAAAGACTTCTACCCACCTGACATTGATGTGGAGTGGCAGAGCAATGGACAGCAGGAGCCCGAGAGGAAGCACCGCACGACCCCACCCCAGCTGGACGAGGACGGGTCCTACTTCCTGTACAGCAAGCTCTCTGTGGACAAGAGCCGCTGGCAGCGGGGAGACGCCTTCGTATGTGCGGTGATGCATGAAGCTCTACACAACCACTACACACAGAAATCCCTCTCCCATTCTCCGGGTAAATGAGCAACACGCCCGGCACCCAGCAAGCCCCCCACCTTGGCTCTCAGGATCCCCTGAGGACGCCTGAGCCCCCGCCCCTGTGTACATAACCCCGGGTAGGCACCCATCATGAAATAAAGCACCCAGCACTGCCCTGGGACCCTGCACGCTGTCATGGTTCTTTCCGAGGTAGAGCTCGGGACACCCGGGCCCTGGGTGGTACGGGCAGGCCAGCTCTGAGTCTAAGGTGTCACCACTGGTGGGTGAGCTCTGCACCTCGAGTGGGGAGGGCGGCACAGGCTGCCACAACGTGGGGCCGGGAGCCGCCTGAGCCTGGGGAGCGCACTTTGGCAGAGGTGCAGCCCCTGTGCGCCCTCAATCCAGCCAGAAGCTAGCCAGGGCTGGGGTGTGTGGACGGGGACGGCAGGAGTTGTCCCCTCCAGGGCCCCTCAGGGAAATGAGCACACAGACCTTCCCACCTCTGTACCGAGTTGTGGGACACTGGCCTGTCCTCATGCCCTGGGCTCCCTGTCCCCTGGGCCTGCGGAGAGCTCTGCTTGGAAGCTCTGTGTCAACCCAGTAGCCATGCTTGTCCTGTCAGGAGGGGACAGGCCCTGTTTGCCCTCAGACACGACACTCCATCCATGTACAGTCCCCCACCCTGCCTCCAGTGACGAGGTCCCCCCTGAGTTCATCCCCCTGGGACCAGGCCTGTCCACTCATGGGGACCTCACCCCGTGCCCCAGTGGGGCAGAGGCAGGTGGCCCTGAGTGCCCAGGGGAGGGACCACTGGAGACCTCCACATGGACGCTGAGTCCAGATCCACTGAAAACAAGCCCATCGTGCTGAGCACCGCCACCTTCTCTCTCTCTCTCTCTCTCTCTCTCTCTCTCTCTCTCTCTCTCACACACACACACACACACACACACACAGACCTTATACCCTGGTCCTCACACAGGACCAGCTGCAGTGCCCAGAGCAGAGCCAGTCTTGGGAACCCTCACCATGGACAACACCCTGGTCCCCACCCCCTCCACTGCCCGTCATCTGCTCAGCAGCTCATCCACACACTGACCACACCGACCCGCCCTCCTCTGCCCCAGGGAGCCTACACCCCCTCTTGACGTGCACAAAACCCCCACAAACCAGCTTATCCTGATGCTCCCACCCACTTGTTCACTAGGGACACTCCCTGTCACTCTGGGCCCTTCCCTGGGCCCTGGGCTCTGCTGACCCTCCACAAGGGCCTGAACCCCCAGGGCAAGAAGAGATGTGACAGTCAAGGCACCTTCTCCCCACAGGGTCCCTGCACAGGGCAGAGCAGAGAGGGTGCGGGTCCCCCACTGGCCTGGCCCAAGCGGTAGGGCTGGGGTGCTGAGGCTGGCACCCAGGGTTGCAGAGGGCTGTGACTGTCCCTCAGGGAATCTGCCCCTCCGCCGGCCCAGTACTGACCACCCCCTTCCTGTCCAGAGCTGATCCTGGATGACAGCTGTGCTGAGGACCAGGACGGGGAGCTGGACGGGCTGTGGACCACCATCTCCATCTTCATCACCCTCTTCCTGCTCAGCGTGTGCTACAGCGCCACTGTCACCCTCTTCAAGGTGGGCACACCCGTACTGTCCCTGGACTATGGCCCACTGTCCCGTCGCTGTCCTCACCATGTGCCTGCACGGACCCCGCAATGACATGCTGACTCCACTCTGTTGGCATGATGACTCTTCGCTGTGCACCCACTTCCCCTCCCTATCCACACAATGTCCCCACACTGTCCCCTCATTGTCTCCTCACTGTCCCCACTCTGTCCCCACACTGACTCCTCACTGTCCCCTCACTCACTCATCACTGTATCCATTGTCCCATTTCTGTCCCCACACCGTCCCCACACTGCCTCTTCATGGTCCCAACGCTGACTCCTCACGGTCTACATACTATACTCAAACTGCCCCCTCTCTATCACTCACTGTCCCCTGATGTCCCATCATTATCCCTCACTGTCCTCTCATTGTGTCCCACTCTCCCCACTCTGTCCCCTTTCTCCTCCCTGTCTCCTCACAGTTCCCACACTCCCCTCACTTTCCCCTCACTGTCCCCACACAGTCCCCACCCTCTCTCCTCATTTCCCCCCACTGTCCCTTCTTTCTCCTCAATGTCCCCACAAAGTCCCCCCACTGTCTCTCCACTGTCGCCACAAAGTACCCTCACTGTCACCTCCCTGTCCCCGTACTGTCCCTCAAAATCCCCCACAAAGTCCCCTCCCTGTCTCTGCACTGTCTCCTCACTATCCCCACAATGTCCCTTCACTGTCCCCACCCTCTCCTGTCACTGTCTCTTCACTGTCTCCTCACTATCCCCTCACCATTCCCTTCTGTCACCACTTTCCCAAACTACCCCGTCACCATTCCCACAATGTCCCCTAACTGTCCGCTTATTGGCCCGTCACTATCCTCTCACTGACACCTCATAGTCCCCACACCATCCCCACACTCTGTCCTCACTGTCCCCTCACTCTCCCCTCGCTGTTCCCACAAAGTCCCCTCACAGTCCTCTCACTGTCCCTCACAATCCCCACAAGATCCCCTCACTGTCTCCTCACTATCTCCATACTGTCCCTCACTGTCCCTAAAGTCTTATCATCTTCTCCTCACTGTCCCCACACTGTCCCTTCACTGTCCCCACACTGTCCTCTCACTGTCTTCTCACTGTTCCTCACTGTTCCCTCACTCTCACCACAGTGTCCCAAACGCTGTGCTCACTTATGCCTCACTGTCCCCACACTGTTCCCTCATATTGTCCTCACTGCCTCCTCACTATCCCCTCACTGTCACCACAAAATCCCCTCACAGTCCCCTCACTGTCCCCAAACAATCCCTCACTGTCCCCACAATGACCCCAAAATGTCCTCTCACTCATGCTTCACTGTCCCCACACCGTCCCCTCCAGGATCCCCTCACACTACCTAGCCTTGGGGGCAGGAGCTTGGTCATGGAGGGAGGTGTCCGTGGGGGTCCAGGCCAAGCTCACACCCTCCCCTCCCTGCTGCAGGTGAAGTGGATCTTCTCGTCAGTGGTGGAGCTGAAGCGCACGATTGTCCCCGACTACAGGAATATGATTGGGCAGGGGGCCTAGGGCCAGCCCTCTGGGAAGGATGTCCAGAACTGCCCTAGACCCCATGTACAAAATGGGTGCCTAGGTGTGTACCGCTTGGCCTGCTGCCAGGGCTGCTCCTCTGCCATCTGACCTTGCCACCCTCTGACCTCACAGCCACCCTGGGCCTTCACCTCCACCATCTGGCCTCATGGCCACTATGGGCTGCATCTTGCCCCCTGGTCCACTGTTTGGAGAATCAAGGGAACAAAAAGAATGCCTCCAACCTGAGCTGAAGGACACCTGCTGGCCCCTCCTAGCAGCCACCAAGATACACCTGGGACCATGTGGACACTGAGGCATAGGGCAGTATGGCTCTCAGGGGATGGCCCCTGGGTAGACCAGCATGTTGATGCCCCAAGAGGCAGACGGCAGTGAGTCCAGTGTCTATCTGGGCAGGGTATGTCCTCTGTGCACACCCCATCCAGACCAGGCTCCAGAATGCAGGATGTCCCTAGACAGGCACGTTCCGGCACATTGAGAGGAAGCCATGGGTCGCTGTCACCCAAAGGGAAACTCCTGATGCGTTGCTAATGGTCAGTCACGTCTTCTCCACCAGAGGAGATCATAGTGAGAGGGCCCGCGCCTGAGGCTGCTGCAGGAGCCCCACAGCTGCTGGATGACAACACTTGGGGAAGCAGTGATGTCACCCAGACAGTCCTCCTGGAGAGAGGCCTGCTGACCTGGTCCCAGGCAGGAGGACGCAGGCTTCATGGACAGAGCTGGAGGGTCCTGGAGGGCCAAGGCAGAAGACCCAGCCCACTCTGTCCTGTGGCCTGGACCTGAGTCCCATGGGGCAGGAACTCCTTCTAGCTTGCAGTTCCGGGGAAGTAGCAGGGGTCAGAGAGAGTGCCCGTGGCCATGGGTAATGGCCGGGGAACCCCAAAGCCTGGATCTCTGCCTGTCCTGGAGCTAGTGCCAGGTGGGAGCCCCTACATGGCCTGAGACAGCCGTGCCCAGAGGAGAAGCAGAGCCCCCATGCCCCCTGGGAGAGAATGTGCAGGGATCATGCAAATGAAAGCCACTCTTGTAGCTTGGCTAGCTTGTTTTAATCTCTTTACATTTCTGGAGCTTATTAAATTCCTTACAATTTCTTTCTTTTCTTAAAGACAATAAAATCTTTAAAAATTCCAGAAATCACTGGGGAAAGGCTTCCTCTGTTGATGGGCGAGTGAAATCCACAGCCATGCCACACCATGCATTGGCTCCCTCCAGCCGTAGGAATTGGGTGGAGAGCAGACCCAGCCTGGGGCTGGAGGCACAATGGCTGCCCCCCTTGGCCGTGGACAGAGCAACGGACATGTGTTGGGTGTGTATTAGTCAGTGCAGGCTGCCAGACAAAGACCCTCATTCTGGCATCTTAAACCACATGCATTTATGCTTTCACAGCCCTAGTAGCCGGCAGTGGGAGATGCAGGGCCCCTCTCCGTGTCCTCCCTGGCCGACCTCTTATACTGCCCATATCCTGACACCTGCTCTTACAAGGACAGGAGTCCATGTGGAGGACCAGCAATCCTGATGGGGCTAATGACCTCCTTTCACCTTGCTACCTCTCAAAGAACCCATCTCAAATGCAGCCACAGTCTGAGGTTCTGGGTCAGGACACAAGACTGGAATTTGGGGGACATATTTAGGCCAACGCAGGCTGGTTGGGTCCAGGCACAAGTACCAGATGGGATCACTGGTGAAGGCCAGGCCAGGCGAGGCCATGGGGAGAGCATTGGCAAAGGTAAGAAAAGCAGGACACCAGTCAAGTGATCAGGGCACTGGGTCAGGAGAGACCCTAAGGGGTGTTGTGTGAACTCCACCTGGGGACAGAGTGACCATGTTTTCCAGGTAAACAAGGAGTGAGGGCAGGCAGGGCGCCAATGAATACTCAA